CCGGGGTCCCAAGCCCGCGGGGTGGTGGGTCCACGAAGGCACAGGTGGTACTCCCTGCTCGTCCGGCCCCAGGGTCTCCTGCCCAGCAGGTTGGCGTGCGGGCTCCATGCTGGTCCCCCGATAGCACGCGCGCCCCTAGAGGGGCACCTTCTGGTCGGCACGCAGACCGGAAAGGGGCCAGGTTCCAGGTCGTCACCTGGTCCGTGTGGAGGACGGTGGTGTGTCTGGGCCGTAGCCGAGTCCCCGTCTGTGGTTTGGGCAGATGAGTCTCAACCGTAGTTGGCAGAGGGCAGTGAGCATCTTTACTCCAAGTACCGTGCTCTGGAGGAGGGCCTCCCAGGCCCGAGGGAGTAGTTCGATGCCTCGTGCTGACACCTTTGCTGTCCCCGGGGTCTGTGGCAGTGCCTTGGGGGTAGGGGGATGGGCAGAAGGACCTGGTGGATTTGAGAGTCCGTCACTGTCACCATCACCCCCTCTAGTGGGCCTGGCCTGGTCCTCTCGGGGGCCCAGGTAAGATGCTCTTAGGGAGACTGGGGCTTTTGCCCCAGAGTCCTGTTTCCTTCACCCTCTCGGTCTGCTCCTGCTCCTTGGGCTGTCAGATCCTCGTGATGGGTCAGCAGAGTGGTTAAGGACAGCTTGGCAGAAGGATTGGGGTGCCTAGGGGCTCCAGGACAGGATCTGGTAGCCTCTACCCCCTTTAGTGTCCAAGGAGGGGCAGAAGGAGGTCAGGTGGGCCTGTCTGCATCCAGAGGCACCTGGCGCCCCCTCTTTGGGCTCACAGAGTCGTCTTTTAAAAAATTCTTTATTGCAAAAGAACACACAGCCCTAGAAAACCAGTTATCCCGCGTGCCCGCTAGCTCGGCTGGTGGCCGGCCCCGAGCCCCCACCGCCCAGCCTGAAGTCCCACCTGTGCCTCCCAGCCCCTGATCTGTGGGTGTTCCTCCCACCCTTTCTGGTGGGTTCTGTGGAAGGGCCGGGGCCACCTGACCCAACAGGCTTCTCTTGGGAGCCCCTCCCCCACCCCAGCCCCCATCCCATAGAAGCAGGACGCGAGCGGCAGCTCTTTCCCCATACCCAGGTGCTGGAGAAGCTCTGGGGGTCACGCCTGTGCTCCTGGTCTACCACGGGCTCCTCTGACGCCTTCCTCGGGGCTGGGACATCCCGCCCTGGTGCCCACAGTGCAACAGGACGCCAGGCCCCTCGGGTGCGTTTCCAGAAGGGCTTCTCACCGGCACAGCCAGTGCTGTCGGGGGGAGCGGGGCTCAGCTGACGGGCACCAACCACCCTCTCTGTTTTCCTGTTTAGGAATGTGGGTACCAGCCGGACAGGCAATCGGTAAGTCCTCATCATGGGCAACTGAGAAGGAACAGGGTCCGAAATGGGGCAGCCCCGCGGCGGGCCAGGGTGGCCCGGAGCCTCATGTACCACGCCCTTGCCCTCACCTCTGTGTCCTGTGTTACAGGTGGCTATGGACCGCCCCCTGCGGGAAGAGGAGCCCCCCCACCGCCGCCACCGTTCACCTCTTACATTGTGTCCACCCCTCCCGGAGGCTTCCCCCCTCCTCAGGGCTTCCCACAGGGCTACGGTGCCCCTCCACAGTTCAGTAAGTCCTGTGGGCCCCAGGAGGGGGGCTGGGGTGCCGCGTGTCCACGCCCCTCTGCTCGGAGGGCAGTGTGGATGACACCTGTGTCGTCCAAGATGAGCGTGCCACGTCACTGGGGCGGGCCCTGCGAGCGGTCGCAGCACGGGGCCTTTGGACCTGGCCTTGTAACTTGTAACAAAGCAGCGAAGGGCTAGAGGGCATACGAGCTGGAGTCTCAGTCCTCCTCTGTTCTGCTTTGTTCCCCGGGCGGCTGGCGGCTGGCAGGCCTGCAAGGTTCAGTGCTCGTCCCCGGTAGGAAGGGGCGTGGCCAGGGCGCCTGGGTGGCTCAGTCGGTTGAGCATGTGACTCTCGTCCCCTCTGCCCCTCTCCCCTGTTCGTGCGTGTGTGCTGTCTCCCCGCTTCTTTTTCTCTCGGGGGGGGGGGGGGGGG